AGGATGGAATGGGATGGGACGGGATGGGATGGGATGGGATGGGATGGGATGGGATGGGACGGGATGGGACGGGATGGGTCAAGACGGGACAGGATAAGAGGAATGCCTTTGGCTCCCGCGTTACCCCCAGCCGTACTTCTTGGAGGGTTTCCAGCAGGCACAAACAGTCACCAGGGTGACGAGGAGGAAGATGCCGCCTGTGGAGAGGATGATGTAGAGGGAGCTCCGGCCTGGGGGAGAGGAATGAGGGGGGACAACCCCCCCAGAATTTTAGCTGGGAGCATCTGCAAGGGATGGCCAGCCCTGGGGGCGCGGGAGCGGGGAACGGGTGGCTTACGGTAGACGGTGAGCTTCACGGGGATGCTGCGGCCGTGGCTGATGGGGTTCTCCACCAGGCAGCTGTAGACGTCGTCGTCAGCCATGAGGACGCGGGTGATGGTGAGGATCTTCTGGTCGGGGGAGAGGAGCAGGCGGGAGTCGTTGCTCAGCGGCCGCCCGTCCTTCAGCCAGGTGTAGGTGGGCTTGGTGCCGTTCTCGTGCGTGCAGTTGAGGGTGAAGAACTCGCTGAGCTCCAGCACCGTCGAGGAGGCCACCAGCACTTGTGGCTTTGAGATGGGGACTGTGGGCAAGCAGGGGAACCACGGTGACGCCATGTCATGGGGGACGGATGGGCGAGGGGGACGGGAAAACATCGAAACCCCACGGGGATGTAGCTTGGCTGCATGGGGTGGTTGAAGCCCAGAAACCACCTCCCAGTTGGAGAAAACCCTCCCAAAACGTGGTCAGGGAAGACGTCCCATGGAGAACCCAATCTCCACCGAACGCCCTTGTTGCACTTACTGTCAACGGTGAGGTTGATGGTCTTCTCACCGGTGAAGGTGTCGTCGGTGATGGACACCTCCACCTCGTAAGCGCCTTCATCAGCCAACTGCAAGGGGTTGATGAGCAACGAGCCGTTCTCCAGCACCCGGATGCGGTCACGGTAATCGGGCCGTAGGTTGCCGATGATCTCGGTACCGATGGACTGGACGACGGTGACGGGTTTGTCACGCTTCAGCTGCCACTTGACCACCGGCTTGTCCGCGCGGGGGCGGGGTGCGCGCAACGA